AATAGGGATCGGTTCTGAGGCTGTAGGAAAACCATTGTCTGTGCTGAACCTTCTGGGGAAGAGGATGGCGAACCCACCTTGGTATCTTGAATCTTGTGGACCATCAGAAGGGCATTCCAGGGCAGTGTTAATTGCGTGTGATTTTTGCTTCATATACTGAATTTAGAACTTAATCTCCATTTAAAATGGGTATTTTAATTATGAAAAAAATGTCTGTTGTTAAAAATGTAAACTATACAAGAGTTTTGGAGTGCATATTTGTTCTTCAATCCGACAAGTGCTTTCTAATGCAGCCAGAGGTAGCAGGTGCTGGCTGGGTGCTGGTAGGAGACAGAGCCTAGTTGGGCTCTGGCCTCACCAGCAAGAAAGGCAACAGGTGGTGCGGAAGACAGCCACAGGAATCGACAATAGGACTGAGGGAATTGACAACAAGAAAGAGGAGGATGCAGGAGGAAGCAGTGCAGCCACAGAGCCTGCCCGACCTTCTTGGGGGTTGGGCAGGGATGAATGCGTGTCAGCCAGACAAGGGAAGGTGGGAAGGCTCCCAGGACACCGAGGTATGTGGTGCCAGGGGGAGTCTGATGTGACCGGTTTGTGATGGACCATGCTGGGAGACTGGGCGTGGAAGAAAGCAGCAACAGCAGGTCTTGAGGACTCTTGTGTGCTAAGGGGTGCAACTTCTCTCCGGAGAAGCCACCTGGAGAGTTGAAAGAGAAGGTAGGTGGGCAGTTTGGTCAGATGTACCTCTTGGCAGCATGGAGGGTAAGTTGGGGGTCGCAGACTAGAATCAGGGAATCCCATTAGGAGACCATTGCAGTAGGCCAGGCAAGGGAAGTTGAAAACCTTGAGTGAGGGAGGCTGAGAGACAAGAAACGGGGGTGTGCAGCGAGGAGCCTGGTAGGCCAGAGAGGGAAGAGGCTGAGTTCTGCCCTGGGTATATGGATTCTGAGGTGCCAGTGGGTCCCCCAATGTCTGACATCTGGAAAGGGTGGGCAGGCCCACAGGGAGAGGCTTAGGGTGGAAAGACACCAGCTGGTTTACAAGGTTGTTTGAAGGAGCCCTAGTCTGGGCTGGCCAGATGCTTCCAGGTAGATGGGTCTGGTGCTGAGGAGAGAATGCAGAGCTGGA